AGGTGTGTAAGTATAAGAGGTCTGAGAGGCAAAACCTGCTCTCTCTTTACAAGTTTGTTTCTCTTATTCAGGTGAGCTAACAACAAATGACACACCTGATCTAAACAACATAAAAGCTGGATCTAAATTAAGAAAAGGCCCAGAGTTCATTTCAACCTGGTGATAATGTCTGCTTCATGTTGTGAGGTAGGGATGTTTCCTGATCTGTAACCACGACCAGGTATCACCTGATCCAGCTGGTATGTGGAGGTTTTGGCAGCGCGGGGAAGATTAAACATTCTTCAGATGTGAGTCAGGTTAGCACAACGCTGTGGGCTGTTTTATGTACGTGCCTTTTGATGAGCTCTTATGGTTTGTTGACTGAAACAGTAACAAAGAAAAAGTGCGTGTAATTAAATGTAAGAGCAATGTTGAAGTACTTCACTTTGCACTTACTTGTGTTCAGAGTTTTCTTCATCAGCTGAACTACTGCTACTTCACACTGAAGCAACATGAGGCTGCACCGGTGGTTTGTGTCAACAAGTATTGAATGGACTCCTGAAAATTGGGAGCAGCCGTTCCTCTCCGGACACCGTGCAGCCTGCTTTGGTCATACATCATTTCCAAAAGGTAGTCATGTGCAGAGCTTGGTCAGAGCACCTTAGCATCACATTTTAACAAATAAGGTTCCTGTTCTGTTCAGTGGCAATTTAGTAATTCAAAAAATGCTCCTTGTCCCACTCCCTTCCTGTTACTAAGATGTTTAAGGATCCAAACACACTGGTGTTGCTGTTCCTAAATAAGATATGCGAACAGGGGTGTAGTTTATTGTTACTACTTGAAGGATACATACATATATATATATATATAGAGAGAGAGAGAGAGAGAGAGAGAGAGAGAGAGAGAGAGAGATCTATATATATATATCGTTTCAGAAACTTTATATATATAAATATATGTAAAGTTTCTGAAACAAGTTAAAATTTTTATATTTTTTGTTGTAGTATTCAGTGGCATCTCTTATATAAGATTATGTAAGAACATTATTATGTGTAATACTGAGTTCTGTGTACTTCATCAAGATGCAAACAGTGAAACTGTTGCTTATGTAATAATACAACAAAGACACATTAATAATTAATCTGACCGTTTATACATAACAGACTTTTAAACATTCTTTACACACAAGACATTCAGCTGGACTCATTGTGTGGATGTGACTCATTTATTTGAGCACAGGTGTGTACATGTGCATAAGTGACTTGAATGATTGATAAATGAATGCAAATGAACACTTACTGTGTCTTTCCTAAGGCTGGCCTGAATCTTAGGTTTTGATTTTGAAGGATTTTGTTTTTCTGGTTGATCTTAGATTTTGTCCTCTGAGCTGACGATGGAGCGAGTGTTAACCAGAACAAGAGAAAAGATTTAGTGCTAAAGTGACAAAAGGACACAGAGAGTTCTACAAGATTTTAATATTAATTTAAATTCGATGTTATTCAGTGTAAAAACATATCTCATCATGTTGCACAGATAGCTTTGGTGTGCACCAGAGTAGCTAGAAGTTTCAATTTCATGTGAATTGAAACTAAACTAAGAACAGAGAGAACACACCTCTGAAAAAGCCAATATTGGGAAATATTTCCTTTTTTTCCCCTAAGCGCTGATAAAACTTTGTGCAGGACACTTGATAAATGGCACTTGCAACATCATGAAGTTACTGTGCACACTAAATAATAATTACTAATATTAATGATTAACTTCAGATTAATGCACAATATGCATCATTAATCTGCAACTGAGTCTGCTGGAACTGACACATTGTATGATCTGACACACAGAGAA